AACATTTCAAAAGGCCAAGTCATATTAGAAGAGGCAATTTAGTTAGAATTCTCTTCAACTTCCCCTTTAGCTACTCCAATTATTCCCCAAAGATATAAATAATAATAAATCTCTCTGTATAAAAGCGAAATGCCACTCACGCATCATTGCAAAATCTCCAGAATCATAAAGCCTACAAACTTGAAATTTGGCACGTATGTTCCTCTTGGCTTCTAGGTGCTCGCTAAGAAAGGATTTTTTGAAATGACCATCAGAGCATTCGTATTTCGTATATTATTATTATTAATGCGCTCTGAGGCTAAAGAGTTCTACTCCCACTCCCCACCTGAAAAAAAAAAAAAGAAATCTCTTCCAAATGCAAAACACAAGCAGAGGAGAGGAGTTTCAGTTTCAGTTTCACAGCAGCACCAAGCAGCCTTAGTACAGAACAGTTGAGCTAAGCCATGCTCAGGCTCCTTGCTGTCTCCTTGTTCACACAGCAAATACGGTTTCAGTTTCCAAACAGCCCTCAACTCTCTTACACACTGACAGGATGCTAGGCAGGTGATGCTGGAAGGCAGAGGCAGAATTCCCCCCCTCCCTTATTTTCCTCCCCAAAAACTAAGCCCGACCACATAGTTTCGTAGTGAAGCACGGGTATCCAGCTAGTTGATTTTAAAATGTTTTATTTTTTTCCCGGGAGACAAACTCTGCCACTTGTGAAACCTGTATTGAATTCTGTCTTAACAGGACTCTGTTTGGTCTTCTAGATTTTCAATTTGATGAAGTTTGACAGCTACGCACGCTTTCTGAAGTCTCCGTTTTACCAACAATGCGTTTTAGCCGAAGTGGAAGGCCGTCCGGTCCCCGATCCACAGTGGGTTCCAAACAGCCCTACTCTGAAGTCCACTTTCGGTCCTGACATGTTCAGTGTTTCCACTCCGAGAAAGGTATCTATCTTTTTAGGATGTACAGTTGAAACAAACCCAATTCTTGCTGGTGTAGAATGGAATAAATAACTTTATTGTCACTTTGAATGTATACTAATCGGCATATATTAAAATGAAATTTTGTGCCGTGCAGTTCTCACCACCTCCAATGTACACAACATAACCATGAATATATATATATATATATATATAATAAATTAAAGTGAAATACCACTACACACATCACAATCTCCAGAACCGTAAAGCCTACAAACTTGAAATTTGGTACGTAGGTTCCTCTTGGCTTCTAGGGGCTCACTTAGAAAGGATTTTTCGAAATGACCATCAGAGCATTTAGAGTATTTCCTATATGATTATTATTAACACGCTCTGATGCTAAGGAGTTCTACTCCCTCTCCCCACTTGAAAAGAAATCTTTTCCAAATGTAAAACACAAGCAGAGGAGAGGAGTTTCAGTTTCAGAGCACCAAGCAGCTTTAGTACAGAACAGTTGAGCTAAGCCACGCCCAGGCTCCTTGCTGTCTCCTTGCTCACACAGCAAATACTGTTTCAGTTTCCAAACCGCCCTCAACTCTCTCACACACTGACAGGAAGCTAGCCAGATGAATACCGATGGATTCTGCTGGTAGGCAGAGGCAGAATTTTTCCCCCTTATTTTCCTCCCCCAAAACTAAGCCCAATCACATAGTTTTGTAGCAAAGCACAGGTATCCAGCTAAACAAGCAGAATAGAGTTGGAAGGGACCTTGGAGGTCTTCTAGTCTAACTCCCTGCTCAACCAGGAGAACCTATCCAGCTAATAAGTAAATAAATGCAAAACGATGTATGTATCCACCTATGTTATATGACATGGAGAAATAACACACCCTAGTTCAGATGTATACGAGTGAGTGAATCCCCACAAGAGGCTTGTGAAGGAATCAGACCTGCTTTTGAGCCAAAATTGGGAAGGTGGTTCAAATTTAAAAAAAAAAAACAAGTAAAAATGCATTAGCTAAAATATTGGTACATACTAGTGTGGACGAAAAAAAAAAAGATGTTGACATTCTAGAAAGAGTGCAGAGAAGAGCAACCAGGAGGATGAGGGGAGTGGGGACTTAAAACATACAAAGAACGGTTGCAGGAACTGGGCATGGCCAGTCTAGGGAAGAGAAGGACCAGGGGAGACAGGAGAGCAGTCTTCCAGTATTTGAGGGCTACCCCAAAGAAGAGGGAGTCAAGCTATTCTCCAAAGCCCCTGAAGGCAAGACAGGAAACAATGGATGGAAACTAACCAAGGAGAGATTCAACCTGGAAATAAGGAGAAACTTTCTAACAGTGAGAACAATCCACCAATGGAACAGCTTGTCTCCAGAGGTTGTGAGTGCACTATCACTGGAGGTTTTCAAAGAGAGGTTAGACAGCCATTTGTCTGAAGTAGTATGGGGTTTCCTGCTTGAGCAGGGGATTGACTAGAAGACCTCTAAGATCCCTTCCAACTCTGTTATTCTGACAGCTACTTGTTTATCAAGAAGGCAATCAAGATGTGCCTTGTTAGTTTGTCTTGGCTGCAAGTGTGTAACGGTGGGGCCTGTGCGTAGGACAGGCAGCAGAACCAGCCAATATGAGCACTAATTCTGATGAAAGAAACCATCCTCGCGGAAGTGGTTTTTTTAAAAATTGCACTTGTTGATAGTTAGGTGGAAAAGCCAAGTCTGGGCGCTCCTTAAATGAAGAATCTGGAGAAGAAGATGGCGAGAAAAAGAAAAAAGGGACTTTCTTTTCCTGGTCGAGAAGCAAGAGTTTGGGGAGGTCACAGAAGAAGAAGGAGAATGGCAATTGTCTCAAAGGTGAGTTTTAAAATCCAAAAATGAGGCCATGGGGAAGAGAGAGGGATGGATGGATGGATGGATTCTGAGGGAGGGAGGAAGGGAGGGAGGGAGGGAAGGAAGGAAGGAAGGAAGGAAGGAAGGAAGGAAGGAAGGAAAGGGAGGGACAGGGAGGAAGGAAGAAAAGAGAGGGAGGGAGAAGAAAGGAAGGAAGGAAAGAAAAGGGAGAGGAAGGGAGGGGAAGAAGGAAGGAAGGAAAGGGAGGGAGGGAGAGAGAAGGAAGGAAAGAAAAGGGAGAGGGAGGGAGAGAGGGACAGGGAAGAAGGAAGAAAAGGGAGGGAGGGAGTGGAAAGGAAGGAAGGAAAGAAGAAAAGGGAGGGGAAGGAAGGTAGGAAGTAAAGGGAGGGAGAGGGAAGGAAGGAAGAAAAGGGAGGGAGGGAGAGGAAGGAAGAAGGAAAGAAAGGAAAAGGATGGATGGAATGATGAAAGGATTCTGAGCAAAGAAGGCTTCTGAGAGGAAGAAAAGGAAGGAAGGGAGGAAGGAAGAAATGGATGGATGAAAGAAAGGAAGGAAGGAACCAGACCCACTTTTGAGCCAACATTGGGAAGGTAGTTCAAACTTTAAAAAAAAAAACCACTCGCCAAACATCCGAATGTAAATCACACATCCATAAAGATGCTGCGATGGTCATTAAGTGTGACAAACGGTCATAAGTCCCTTTTTTCAAGGCAGTTGTCTCTTCGAGCGGCCACTAAGCAAACCATTGTAAGTCGAGGACCACCTGTATACAGAGACAGAAGGGAGAGTTAGAAAACATCCAGAATGTCAGTCGCAGCCACATTGGTTCATTTTTTTAGGGAACAGACTCCTGATACTTTTGTATGATTAGAGAATTAAAACCGGCAGAGACTAGATTTCGTTCAGAGATTTAAGCGGAGAAATCTCGAAAGCTGATTCTCGACTGTTGAGGAAGATTGTGAGGTAATTGAGCTAATTGAGACTTTCTGACGGAATATTTCTCCCCAGAGTCTTCTCAGCCTGGTGAGCTCTCCTATAGACATCAATCACAAGATTCCTTGTCTTCAGCTGCGAGTCTGGAGATGGTAAGACGTGCCCTTTTTGGACTGAAAATGTGCATGAGGATGAACTATTGTCTAGCTCCGTGATGGCGAACCTATGGCACGCATGCCACAGGTGGCCCACAGAGCCATTTGTAACAGCACGCGAGCCGTGGGCAAATTTACCTCACTGTGCATGCATGTGCCTCACAGCTGGTTTGAGGCCTTTTTCAGCCTCCCAGAGGCTTCAAAAAAGCCTCTGCAGGCTTTGCAGGACAAATAATAGGCCCATTTGGTCACTTCCTGTAACACCGGAAGTGACAAAACGGGCCTATTATTTGGCCTGCAGAGGCTTTTTTCAAGCCTCCGGGAGGCTGAAAAAGGCCTCAAACCGGCTGAAAATCAGCTGTGAGGTGCAGTGCAGGTAAGGGGGTGGAGGCAGGGGGGGGATTGTGCACTTATGCGCAGGGGTTGTGGGGGGCGCACATTGCCTTCTAGGTGCTGGCATGCAAGCATGCGCGTACCAGCGCACGCACAATTTTTGGCACAGGAGCCCAAAAAGGTTAGCCACCACTGGTCTAGCTTAAATAAAAGGTCTAGGGGGGACATCATAGCGGTCTTCCAGCATTTGAGGCGCTGCCACAAAGAGTAGGGGGTCAAACTACCCTGTTTCCCCAAAAATACAACCTAGCCCAAAAGTAAGCCCTAGCTTGATTTTTTTTACACGTGCGCCCAATATAAGCCCTACCCTCAAAATAAGCCCTGATGAAGATTCCACCCATTCCAGAGTGGACGGGTAAAAATTAAGCTAGGGTGGAGATGGGGGTGGTGGAGCTGCCCTACTGCTTACCTTTGGACAGTTGTAGCCAGGCCTCGCACACCCCGACACCTGCCTGGCCGGCCCATTTCTTCTGCAGCCAGCAAGGCTTTCCTAAAGGCCTCTGTAGATGATAACAAAGCTCTGGATAACAAAGCTCTGTTATCGGCTGCAGAGGCCTTCAGGAAAGCCTTGCTGGCCGCAGAAGAAGAAGAAGTTCCTGAAGGCCTCTGACAGCGAAAAGGAGGTTGGGGGTGATGCGCCCAAGTGAGGTTAGTCAGTAGATGACGAACCAGTAGAAGACCTGGTGACTTTTTTGGTGGACGTTTATAAGTAGGGATAGGGCAAGCGTTGTCTGAAATGGTATGGGATCTCCTGCTCATGCAAGGGGGCTGGACTAGAAGACCTCCGAGGTCCCTTCCAACTCTTGTTATTCCATGTTCCGCATTCTAAATGTGTTGCTGTTCGCGTTAAAACCCCCCCACTTTGTTTAAATTCCCCGCTCGATTTACCAGTAACCCTTTCTCTCCGAAGGGTGAGCCCTGCCGAGCCTCGGGACCCCCCACCGCAAAAGAGAAGCCCCCTCAGAGTTGCCACATCCACCTCCCAGATGGCTCCACTTCGGTCATGCCTGTCCGAGGTGGGGCCTCCATCAAAGAGGTGCTGTCCGGCTTCTGCGAAAGGCAGCGGATCAGCATGGCTGCCGTCGACCTCTTTTTAATCGGCGGGGACAAGGTACTGAATTATTATTTGTAATAATAATAATAATAATAATAATAATAATAATAATAATAATAATAATAATAATAATAATTCATTTTTAGGCTACTTTTTTTCCAAGAGTGGTGCAGAGATTAGAGAGAGGAATAGCATTTGGGCTTATATACCGCCCCAAGAGCACTTTAGAGCAGGGGTCTCCAACCTGGGCAACTTGATTGATTGATTGATTGAAATTGTTTAGAGTCTCTTCCTTGAGCAGGGGTTGGACTAGAAGACCTCCAAAGTCCCTTCCAGCTCTATTCTAATTGGTTGATTGATTGTTTGATTGATTTATTGACTGACTGACTAATTGATTGATAGAAATTGTTTAGAGTCTCTTCCTTGAGCAGGGGGTTGGGCTAGAAGACCTCCAAAGTCCCTTCCAGCTCTATTCCAATTGGTTGATTGATTGATTGATTGATTGA